CTGCCCTAGAGGCGTTTCCAGTTGATCCACATCGCATATTATTTATAACTAGGGTTCAGGACCTATTGCTCACATTGTAGGTAATATACAGCACGGGATCAGTACATTTGCCCGACACTACACTTGCCACTTGCCCGATAATCTCAAATTATATTAATATTATATTATACCTATTATGTTATTTAAAAATTAATGTTAAATTTTAAAATTATGCAATAAATAATTGCGTCAAAAATTAATAATATCACAAACATTATACTACTTACAATTTAATGTTATGAGCGTTTCTTATGAATCTATCGCGAATAGCGGTAAAATACGATTGAGAACGTTATTTTTGGTAACACGATTGAGAACTTAATAATATAATATACTATACTATACTTAATACTTAGTACTTTTTCACATAGAACGATAACATCTATGATAAAATATTCGTCCGATTTAGTTTTTTTTTTTTAATTATTGTATATTAATAAATAATAATAAAATAATGAAATAGTAATAAAATATTGTATATCAGTATTATATACAGTAAAAATATGTAAAATTTATTGTCGGGCCTCGGAAAAATGTTGTGTCGGGCAAATAAAGTGTTGGGCAAATGAAGTCAGACAATTGAAGTGTCGGGCAAACATATCAGACCCTATACAGCACATATTAACTTAAAATAATTAAACTGTGCAACTGATTTTTTTTTTTTTATAAAATTGAAAATTGGATATTCATTTATTTTTTTACTTGATTTATTACATTTTAAATGAAAACAATTTTTTGTTGTTATTTAAAATCATAATTAGTTAAAATTAATGAGGTTATAATAAAAAAGTCAAAGTAATCGAAAACAAACATTACTAACGTTATCGGCACATTTTTAAAATAAGTCGTTTCATTTTAAATCTTCAGGTAAATGTTCGAGACATTATTGGTCTCCAGATAACATTTTGGACATTTTAACCATCGATTTGTAACTCTCATTTTTCACTAACATATTTTTAATTTTTTTTTAACTGTTTTACCTTCTACGTGACGGTATTTTTTCCTCTGTAGTTTATTGCCGCGATAGTTTAATACATTACATTTTTTTCAATCATGTATATGTATATCTATTTTTTACCAGCAAACATTTGAAAAATTACTTAAATCTACTGGTAGACTGGCACTCCAAATGGAGAATACAAAAAACAACGAAAAGTCTTTAAACCTTCACTCTCAACGAAAGCTCAGTACTCCGGTCCATTTAAACGATAAGGTAATCCCATATTTTTCCAATACCAAATACTTAGGTCTGACACTAGATGAAAGGCTTACCTGAGCTGAACACATCAGAAGCGACTCATACTGAATACCAGACGATGAACACATTATCTACTTACAGGTTAGCAATCAAAAATCGATCTAAATATAAAACTTAATTAACTTCACTACCCTTCTTAAGCCAAATTGTTACATCGAACCTAACTGTGAGGAGCATTAAAAAAATCTAATATCTACAAAATTCAAGTATTCCAATCGACCTTATTAACAAATAATTGCATATGCTCCACTTTACGTACAGTAATAATTTACATTTAAACTGACCTATATGTAGAAAAAATGAGTCATTTCCTCAGTTTCTATGACTTGTTCTACTCGTATGATTCAGTATATTGAGTAATAAGTGTTAACCGGCATATCACGGTAAAAACCTTTAAGAATAAATTTACTTCACATAAAACGTGTAAATTAGTGCATATGCACTAAAAAACAATTAAACTTTAAAAATCTGCATTTTTCATTAAAAAAGCAAATTATGCGAAAGTATGTAATTAAAACGTTTGCATTTCAGTCCGTTATGTCTTGAAACAAATTTAAGATTTAATCATATTGTTCTACAGTTATTATTAAAGAATATGCAAATGCAACCAGTCTTCAATCCTGTTTATAACATTTGTCACTTACCTAACAACCGATCGTATTCAATTATAATTTTTGCATGTATGATTATTGTGTCGGTTTTTATAACACAAGTTTTAATTAAAAATGTATATAATTTGTGCAATTGTTGTGTTAAATAAATGCATTATGTGTAAGAAACTTGTTGAAATTATTCAATTATAAAAAATAATAAATATTTATACAAATAATCTGAACGCTTTAGACTTCCGAAGAAATATAACAATTCATGAGTTACACCCATCCCACGTGATACTTTAAACGTCCATCGTTCAAGTGTTGCGCTCCCCGTCTATGCAACATAAGATTTACGATTGAGCAAGCATAATAAAACGATTTTTTTTTTTTAGCGAGAATAATAACTTAATTCGCTAAACTATTGCTAAACCGTTGTATTAGCAAATCGAATACCCATCGAGTGGAGTAGCCAGTGAGGTGGGGGTTAACGAGTTATAATCTCCTCCTCCTCAAATGTCTCTCTTATTTTTTAAGGTATAGGTACTATCGTTTTAAGACATAGATGTAGTGTTACATCACGTCATCATCAAACAATTTTTACAGTTTCGACAAACTATATCATAATGAATTTTATATTTCGAAAATTTGATTATTAATTAGGAGAGAGAATTAAAAATTTACCCCCCTCCCAAAAAAAAAAAAAAAATATTTTTCTGGTTACCGCAGTTGACATAACATAGTCGTGCTTGTTTTTCCGCCGATTTTGTCGATTTGAGCACACATTTCTACGGGTAGGTACAGTTGTATATAAAACGCCGCACGATTATGCTACATATACGACAACAAACGTCCGATCGATATCAGATAGGGGCACGTACGGACAAAGCTAACAACTGCGCGTATTGGTAGTCTACTGGGAAGTTGTGAGATCATACATGTAACTCGTGTGGCAGCGGACCAGTGATCTAGTGCCAGGCGTATTCGTTTGTTTATTTATTTATTTTTTAATCACCAAGGTTTTTTATTATGTCGATCGGTAATCTTTAACGTTGTATTTCAAGAAATTGTACATGAAAATTAAACATTAATTGAATGTATATTTCGATAAAAATGTTTGGGTCGTCTCTTTCCCAGTGGAGAGGTCGTATGGTTTCGGTTTTTGAGCCGCCTGTAATGCACTGGATAGCCTAATCGCACGCGGAAAGATGTAAAGACTTTATTTCCGGGGACGGACGTCGACTAGAGCGTTTTTAAAGGCGTGAAAAGCAATAAAATATACTTTGTAAAATTCAACTTTAAGATTTTATTGTAATAAAGGATTAATAATGAAATAAACGACTATACGTTCGACATAATACAACGCGTGGTTACACTTCGAGTGCTAGTCTCCAGTACGCAGAACCTTTGCACCGAAACTTACGTTCGCGTAAACAACGTTAACGGTGATGTACATTAATAACTTATACCTTGGGCTGTATAACAGCTTGGGAACCGCTGGGCTAGATAAAAAAATGAATTAACGTTTATCTCGTCTAGAAATGGTCGAAGAAATAATCATCAGTTGTTTTATTTTAGATCGACGAAAGCGTTATTCAAAGGAATCGATCTAGACGAATGAACTTTCCGTGATTATTTTTTACCCGTGATAATAAAACGATTAAGAATCATCGTAGACGATTAACTAATCTGTAATAACTGACCAGTCGTTAAAAGGAATTTTTTTCTTTTTAGTTTAATTCGTCCCGAGGGCCATTATATATTATTTTTATTCCATAATTAGTTGTCAGACATTACTGCTTAGCAGTACGGTCGCGTCACAGGCACACAAGATATTATTAGATTACCGCGTAATTGTGTATAGGTATCCATTTCTGTATAATATATACTGTACACTGGTCGCAGAAGTAAATTATTAATCCTGACTTTCTGTTCAATTATTTATAGGTATGTACATATATATTTCAAATATTGATAATTTTATAAACCACCTCCACCTCACTGTCACAGTTGTCAATCATTTCCCTCCGTTTATTGTCATTCTTCAGTGGTCGTCCATTAACCGTTATGTAAAGTTATAACTTGTCAGTTAGTTTTAGTTTACTATTTAAATATGGACAGATCTGTAATTCAATTAAATCAATAAAAATAAAAATGACGATGAATAAAGTCGTACTTAACTACCAGAACAGATAAATGAAACGATGCGTGACCTATTCGGTAGAAAAATTTTTCAAAATCGTGAAATACGATTGTAAACATATAACAGCCCAATGTCAGTGCTAAGACGATCAGTGGATAAAAATAATCGACTACGGTGATACCCGATTGAGCACGGTCGTTATCGGCCGACCTTTTTGACGACCCGATTGAGCATGGTAAAAAATAAATATTGTGTACAACATTGTCAGATTGAAAACTAACTATTAGGCTGGCAACACACTGGCGTTATTTTACCGCGCGACATTTTTACGGTGCCGTAATTTTACTGCGCGTTTTGTTAAAGTACATTAAAATGAATAGAGCACAACACACTAGTGTCGCACAATAAAATTATGGCGCGATATTTCAAAAACTGTCGCGTGCACCTTGACTTCAAACTCCTTTTTTGCTGCCTTGAGCTTATCAGGTGCTAAGCGTCGTGGCTTACAAGATACTGGGGGTCCTGGTGTCGTTTGAATATAGTGTTTGGTGCTGTGCCTAATGTCTCTTGGCGCTCCGTATGGTCAAGTAATCTCGGGAAATTTCCGTAGTAAACAGTCGTATTTCGTTTCTCCCACGACAATCTTTATGGATGGTATGGAGGATTCAGCAGCGTGACCATGAGCGGTGAGTCGTGTAACACCGTCTAAAAGACATTGTTTACGCACGTCTACCAATAGATTGTAATGACTCAAGAAGACACCAATGATGGGTTTGGATACTTCCGCGATAGTACCGTAGGTGTTAATAGGCGTGCCATTGGCTGCTGATAGGACGTAATCGGATTTTACTCGACGGTCTGGAACAGCACTACGTGGATAAACACATAGGTCGGCATCCGTGTCGATGAAAAATTGAGTTTAAGAAGTTCGATTAGTAATGAATAGACGGCGCAGGGACGGACAGGACTAACTGGCCGTCATCAGTGATGACCCGTCACGTTTTCCTGAATTATAGGTACAAGGTTCCTTGCATTTTCGCGATTGTGATCCATTACGCCAATGATACCAGCATAATCCATCTGCACCATGGAGAGTACGGCTCCGAGATCGAGATCTTAAGCGGTAAGTACTTGGTCTTGAGTCCAGATTACGCGAGTGACGAGTATTGATCGCTGCCACTTCACTTCTCAACGTCGCAATTTCCTGATTTATACTCAAGGTAAGCTGAGAAATTTTAAGATTCAACATGGCTTCAAAAGTGTCACTTCTCGATGTTTCTGCTATTTGAGGTAGCAAAGGACCAGATGCATGCGCGATGTTGTCTGCATGGACAGCGAGTTCTTCAAGCTTACTATCTTAAACTATTGCTAACGCCACTTGTATACTTTTTGGTAGGCGGCCCATCCAAAGTGTCTTTAATAATGTTTCCGGAACGGAAGAGTCAGCCAGGTTTTGGAGGTGGCGTAAAAATTTTGACGGTTTACGGTCACCAATCTCAACGCGCTCCAGAAGTTGACGTGTTTTTTCCTCTTGGGAGGCACTAAGACGTTTTATTAATTCATCTTTAATTTTGACATACTTATTGTCCGAGGGCGGCGTCATAATTATGTCTTTGACTTCAACTGCATATTTCGACGGTAATGCTCCAACCACATACCCGAATTTCGTGCTGTCAGCTGTAACTCCCGCGCTGGCGAAACTACCTTCGACCATAGCAAACCCAAAGTTCGGGATCTGACGAAATGAAATCCGGAATTTTGACGGCCACTCGAGCAATCGTTGCGTCTGTCTCTGCCATCACGTCGAGGTCACCAATTTGTGAGATTTAAGTAATAAAAATCACTCACAATTTAATTTAATTAAAATAGACACTATATTATATAAATATGTATGTACAAATATCGATACGCGTTAAAATTGCGGAGGAATTGCCGAATATATCGCGGAGTGTAATTCACGGTGTGTCGCGGATTGTACTCACGGACTGATTGATTGATTGAGCGTCTGACCAGCCGGTATATATATATCCGCGTCGATTATCTAGAACATTCTCGAAAAGAAATAATCATCGCATATTCTAGAACATGGGATTTCCCCTTATCCACTGACAATATTGTAAACAACTTGGACGATTCGCGGTGCATTGTTTGCGTCACCACAACGTTTTGGTCCGCGCGAGTATATTCGCTAACAGTTTTCATTCGGAATCAGTCTCGCGGTAAACTAATAGATCGTCAGAGACACATATTCAGGGCCAGCTTTAGGCAAAACGAGGCATTTGTTCAGGGCCTTGCGCCTTCAAAGGCCTCGTGCTTAACATTTTAATTGACAAATATTTTGCGTAGAAATCTCATAAAATAAAACGTGAAACGCGTGGATCACCTGGTGAATACGATTTCTTGAGAAACCCATTGGCACATAACGAAACAATAATATTTTCTATTTAATACATAATGGATGCACCAACGACGACCCGTATATACGCCACACGGTATGAAAACCGATATACCTAGAAAGTTTATCTTATTAAATTAAACTATTTCTTAAATTTATATTATCGTATTTAATTACGGCCTACAGGTTCACTGCAGGTGACTACGGTCAGTGCCGTAACCAGGATTGGTTTTGGCGGGTTGTGAATTTGGAAAAAATAAACAGGTGTTTGGTGGGGATAAGGAAGTAAGTTATTTTTTATGAGTAAAATATTTAAATTACAAATTGAACTGTTTAACTTTTATCTCATATTGTGATACCACAAAAAAAAGTATTATACAATCGACTATCGAGAAATTGTAGTAGCAAAGTTATTGATGTTTTATAGTTGATCGAAACGTTAAAAAACGTCATGTTATTATTGTTATCTATTATATTACGAATAATATTCATGTTTCATATCAATCAGCCGTTTCGCGTGTTCAAGATAAACCATTTTTTTTCTACGTAGAATTTGTAAAAATCTCAGAAAATTTTTGTTACAACTCCCAAACCCCACCACTAGTTGCGCCACTGACTACGATTGCTGGTAAAATAAGTTTTGTTCAGGGCCTCGCAAAAGGTAGCTAGCGCCGGCCCTGCACGTATTTAATGTCGTCTCGTCTCTGGGCGGCTAAAATTGAATCGACTGCGGTTTTCGCTCGCGATCGACATAGCTGCACACGCGGTGGTTCACACGGCCCACCTCTCGCGTTATGATATACTGATATACTTTCGAGCTACAATCGTTGGCAACGAAACGGCAAACGTCTGTTTCGCCTAACGCACACATCTCACGTGTTGCCCGCGGCCGTATAATGTTTTCCCATTACATTGAAATCACTGCAAGGACAATGGTAGCTACATTTTAGACGTGTGCAAAAATAACTCATAAAGTCCATTCCCGTACGACGCGTCAAATAAAGTTGATTTTGGTAAGCACGTTTTATTGAGATTGCAAGAATTCGCGAATAGTAACCTACGCGTATACTGCATGCGTCACGGTTCGACGATAATAACGTATGCGTGTTGTTCTAAAACGTAAGACGAAGCGAACCAAACATCAAATAATTTTCTACAAAGTTACCAAATGTATTCGGATCGCGAAAACGATACAATTCTCAAAACTGGATTTCAAAGTTCTTCGTAGCGAATCGTTATCTTATACTTAGTTTTACTGATATTTTTTTGTCGAAATTCATCAACTAATGATGTAACTTCAATGGAAACTAATGATGGTATATTATAAATTTCGCATTCGAATCGAATAGAAATTCTCTGAGAAGTTTTAATTGCATGTGAACTGTTTTAAAAATTTATCAAAACATCAATGACTATTTTCATATGGAAAATAAAGTCAAATACTATAACTTAGGATAAATGGATCGCAAGTCTAGGGTTAGAGATAATATGCTATACATATTATGTACCGATGTGAATGTTCCAATATTATTCTTATTGAAAAGAAAAACCTTTGATCGTTTATACTAAAAAAAAAAAAAAAAAAAAAAATGTGTAGCTAATGATTGTTATTATGTTCAAACATTATAATATTAACAGTTAATTTTGTTTGTTGATAACCGAAATAATGTAAAATTGTAACATTTTACGTGTAATATTAATACCCGTACATTTCGATGACAATGCAAAGCCGACTCGAACCCGTCGCTGCAGCCCTGGACATCTTACAACGATGTCTACCGAAAAAAAATATATTTTACAAACTTGAACCATTAATCAGTTAATTAATTTCATATTATCGTTGATTCTCGCGATCTATTACGAATATCATACGCTAATGCGCGATGAACTTTTAGTCTTTTGAAACGAATTTACGCCCAGAAATTTTTCGTCACCCACAACCCCTTCCACAAATCCTAGGCGTGTACGTCGAACGCGCGTAATTTATTTTCAACCCTTTCCCCATCCATCAGAATACGCATGCCGAACGCCGTTTCAATAACAATTAAAAACTATCGCCCTGCCCTCGCCCACCGGCCGTACAAACAATGATTTTAGAATGCGCTATTATGTTACTAGTACATTATATACTATTGCATTAGTCTGTTCTAGCACGTGTCGCAGTGCAGCGTTCACACCGACTCGATCCTGCGTGGTTTTGAACGATCCCCGCTAATGAATATTCTAATTCATACCTAATTAATAATCGATTGCCCCTGTTCACGCGGTGTGGTTATCTATTGTATAACACTGTCCGTCGGACTTGGATTAATTATTTTCCCGGAGCTTTTTGCACGTACCCGAATTATGTGCGTACAATTTATACAAAGTCATGACATTAAATAACGATAGGTTTATGTAGTGTATTTAAATAAAGCTGTCATCGCCGGTGTGCGCTGCGCGAGGAATATTATAATTTTATTTGAAAAATGTCAATAATCGTGCTCGCACTTTGGAATTCGAATAACTTCGCGCCGTAAATCGAAAATACCGAACATTTTAATCATTTATACACATTATTATTTTTATTATTATTATTATTATTATTATTGTTACGCTTCGTAATATCTTGTTTGGTTTTTTGTTGGTTATTTGGTTTGCGCAAACATTGTAAAAAATGCATATAAATACAAAGTATTGTTATAGTTACTACTTGCGTAGCAATAAAATATTACAGGAAAAAAGAAATATTTAATTAAAGAAATTACCATTTTGGTCGAACAACGTTGCTAACCGGTCATAAGTAGTAATGAATTATGATACGATAAATTCATTTTTTTTTTTTTTTTAATTCAGTACTCGTAGATTATTAACAGAGTTACTAATGGTAACTCATTTATAAAAATTAATTGAATTTTTTTTTATGTTTAGTGAAAAGGCAAATATCCTTTTTGTACGCAATAACTATGAATTCCATTAAGAAAAACATCGCTTACATGGACGAGCGTGATAATAAATGCCGTGCTAAATGTTATAACAATAATCGAATATTAATTGAAAATAACATAAAAAAAAAAATGAATTAATTATAACAATGCCAACTACGTTGTCAGATTTAAGTCTGAATGAATTTGGAAGGAAATTTGCATTCATTATAATTTTTTTTCGTGTAGAAACTTACGAAGACATACCTGGAAAATTCACTTTTTGCCAAAACATAACCGTTTACTGCCAGTATAATAATATAAATTTCCATTTTTCGCCACAACAAATTTCAGTTTTTAAATGTTGGAAAACCCTTACTGTATAAACATATGTGAAGTTATTGATAATTAGCCATGATTTTTAAAATAACTTAAGCATGTAAATTAACATAAATAATGATGAGATGGTCAGGTGTGCATGAAAAATATATTATTATTAAAACTAATTATAATATATGTACATATACTTAACATATGTTAAAGGTACACTGAACATTATAAAATCAAAACCAAATTAAAACTCTTCTTAAATACATTCATAGTACAAGATGCAAATGATTTTATTTTTCATTAATTATAATTAATTTCTACAATGGAGTATGCGTATATAGTTACACTATAGACTTGACATACGTTTATCAGCATATTTCTCCCCATTTACATTGATTAATTAAAAATTAGTTTCTTTTTAGTCGTTTTAGAACTTGATGTCGGGTTCTTTTTGGTTCACCAACTATACTTAATTCACAATAAACATATATCGGCACTTCTTCGATTGAAACATTTATCTATTGTAAAATTTATAGTGAATGTCGGTAAAAACTATTTTTAAAATATGCCTGAAAACTCACAGGCATTGGTTCTGTAACGGGTAAGATCTGAATATGCAAATGCCTAAAGTTTTGGAGGATTAAAAAAATGCCAGTTTCAGATGATTCGAGTTTATACGAACCTGGTAAACTAAATTCTTTTATTTTGCGATACCAAGATTGGATGAAATGGAAGTGACACCCTAAAATTATGGTTTGCGGCCACATTTTAAACACGGCATTAAGTATTGCCTTTTCAAAGTCAACAGTTACTTTAAAAGGAAAAATAACTTAACAACTTAACGCCAAATCTTAAAACGTCTTACTTACTGCATGGAAAATATAGATACATGTTTTTGTGCATTTATTCGGCAATGAGCAAAATACTAATTTAACGTAATAACTATGGCTGAGATATTGATGCAAATGCATCTTTTTTTTCTAACTTATCTAATAGTGATAGATTAATTTACTGATTAATTTATTTTTCATTTAATGACAAATTAAACTTTATGTGCATTTATAGGGCATATTTTGCTATTTTTAT